TACAATACATATTACTCTGACTACATGTTACATTGGGCAAGTCCAGTCCACCTCAAGAATCTCTGAAAATTATTGAGGAGCCATTGCTCCTGAGTCTATCAGTGTGAAGACTATGGAATGCTGGATTCAGGCCATGCATCTGAGAGCTGAATAATGAGTAAGGACGACAAAAGAAGAACTGTTGTCTTCTACTTCTGGTGGAGGAGAAGAGCACTGAATATTCCATGGACTGCCAAAAACCTAAACAGGTATGTCTTAGAAAAAGTACAACTAGAGTGCTCCGTGGAGGCAAGGATGGTGATAGTTCATCTCACATATTTTGGGTATGTTGCTAGGAGAGGCGATTCCTTCAAAAGGGATATCATGCTTGAAAAGTGGAGGGTCAGTGAAAGAGGATGACCCTCAAGGACATGGATCGACACAGTGACTGCAGCAACGGGCTTAAGTATGTCAGAGATTGTATGAGGATGACACAGGATAGGAAAGGGTTCAAAGTATGTTGTTCACAGAGTCACTATGAATGGTACGCAACTTAATGGCGCCTAAAAACAGCATTTTCTGCATGTCTCTATATACCAACTACATCACTATAAATGCTCCTTTAAAATGGAATTTTACTTTTTTTAAGCAAATCAGGTTCGTTTTTTATTCTTTTTATAAAATTGTGATTTTAACAAACACTTACAGAAAGGTTGGGTTTTCTTTCATTTATTAATGTACATTTTCTTCCCTCCACCTCTTTGCACTCCCCCAACTCACCTTGCAATGAACTTCTTATTCCAGATTTTTGTCATATATATAAAGCCTAATCAGACATTTCTTCAGACAGTCCCTTCCTTCACCTGTTCTAGTGTTCATTATCTATCCACTCGTTTCCTGTTCTCTCCACCCCTGCATGTCAATCCTATTTTTATAACAGCTGTGTTATGGACTATTTGTCCTTTTGTGACTAAGATCTTTCACTCAGCATAATGTCTTCCAGACTCATCTAAATTGTGTAGTGTTTTACAAGTTCACTGCCTATTCAATGCTGTAATGTTATTTTTTTTGTAATAGTATTTCTTTTTAAAAAAATAACTCAATATATCTTAGTTTGTTGAATGCAAAGACTGTGTACCAATATTCTTAGAACAAAAACTATTTATGAAACAGTAATATATTGCATTTAACAGTCTTTCAAAGTGTTGTGTCTGCAAAATTCTTCATTACATTCTCTTTCCCCCCAAAGTATCCTATAAACATTGTAACTCAATGCCTAATACGAAAGTGTGATACAATTGATGGGTATACTCCAGCACTTTCCAACTAATAACTAGATTAAAATAAAACTATTAGAGACTTGCGATCATGAATACAAGTCACTTTGTTTCCTTAAATTTCTACTTCTGCATTAATTTCTTTAAAGTATGTTAAAAAGTATCCTTCCTTCTTCATTTGGTTTTTGTGGGAATGAGCACAATTAAATTTATGAAAAGGGAAAAACAAAGTAAAAACACTGAAAAACTGATAAACAATAAACTTGAAAGAGGTGCAGCATCTGTCTCCTAGTTTGTGATACTATGGTAGACTGCATACTGCTATAATGGTAGAAGCTACATTATGAGGACCAGCATGATCACTCATTTTGGACATATTTCAGCAAAGTGTCCACACTAAAAAGAAACCACTGGAGATATTCTGAAAATAAGCCAGTGAAAACCATATAAATCAAAATAGAAGATTATCTGATATGGTGTTAAATGATGAGTTACTTGGTTAGAAGGCACTCAAAAGAAAAGTGATCTCAACAATGGACTTCCTACAATAATCACAAAAACGGTACCAGACTAACCAACACTTCCTTGGTATGCACAAGGTCACCAAAGCCAGAATACCTGATTCACTGGCAACTAAGACCAATATCCTCCAAAGAAAAACACTGACAAGTCCACACAACATATATGAAAAATACCTTGAACTTGGTAACACAAAAAAACCTACTAAATTTTTTAAAATTAAGATGTTATATACCACATTTTCTAGGCATAATCTCGTCAAGTGAAAAGTACATACAAAGGTAGCAAAACCAAAATTTCTCTGAAATTAGGAAATAGATTTCTAATCAAATGACCAAAGAAAATGAAAAATTGTCTGGAAAGTAGTAAAATAGAGAACACATTGCACCAGTATGTATGAAATCCGACTAAATGCATGTTCAAGAGGAAAAGTGTTTTTTAATGCTTTCAATATTAAAAATGATGAGTAACAGAATGATCTTAGTGTTCACCTTTAGAGTTTAAATAAAAAACACAAAAAAATTCAAAATAATAAAAAAGAAATTAAGATAAACACAGAAAAGAATGAAACAAAAAGGTCAAAACATAACTGAAAGGATTAAAAAAAATCCAAAATATACTTTTTATGATTAATAAAACAAAGTAAAATAAAACAAAAAGAAAAAAATAACAATATTTGAAATAACAAAGGGGCACTACCACAAACCCCAGGGAGCTGTAGTGGCCTAGTGGTTAAAAAGCTGCATTGCGATCCCAAAGTTTGAATCCACCAGCCACTACACATAAGAAGGATGGGCAATCTCCTCCTGTGCAACTTACTGCCTTCGAAAACCCACTGGAAGGTCAGCTTTGGGTCCATTCTGAGCCAACAGTATTCAACAACCACCACCACAAACTCCAGAGTGCTAAAGAGCAATGATGAAGACTAAAGTGTGTCTGATCCAGGCGTCTGATCTTCTTGACTATTTGCTCCTATGTATCTATAATTCATGTTTTAATGAAATATCGCTGTTGTTATATGTCATACATGTCAAAATGTTGCAGTATATTAGAAATAAAATTACTTCATAACCCAGGAATATCCTGAGTTTCCTGGTCAAGTTGGATTGTAAATTACACTATCATTCATTTTTACAGAACATTATCTAAAGGTTATATTGCTATATACCTTAAAGTTAAATGAAATTAAGATGGAGAAAAGTTTCTATTATCTATTTTAAAAACATTAACTGTTTAAAAAACTAAAGAATAAAAAAAAAAGTTTGGCCAAAACTAAAAAAGAAAAAAAACATTAACTGTCTATCAATTGTTGCAGGCTAAAAAGTTCTTATGCAAAGAAGTTTTCTCAAAAGGATAAAGAACTCTTTTTCATTGCCATTGAATTGGTTCCTACCCATAGCTGAACCTCCAAGGCTGTAAACTGTACAGAAGGAGATTAGCTACCAATCATTTTTTTTGAGGAGTAGATGGTGGCTAACTGCCAGAGAAGTTCCTCTTTAGGTTAGCAACACAACTATCTATGGACTATGCCATATTTTAAAAGTATTTCTTGATAGCCTACAAATCCCAGGTTAAAAATTTCCTATGAGAAATCTTAGGCAAGTATTTTTCCTCTAAGAACACAAAAAAATTTTTACTTGAGGAAATAACTAAGATGTCAAGGTTACAAAAGTATGTATTAGGTTACTTACAACTGCAAACTCTTCTCTGTCAAGCATGCCATCATGGTCAATATCACTCAGTTCCCAAACCTTAAGAAAAAACAAAAAATTGAAAAAGAGTAATCTTCCATGATATACTTGTAAACACCAAATATATATATGGGGCGGAAAGGGGGATATCAAATAACACTGTCATTACCATTTCTCCAAGAAATTTCAATTCTATGGATTATACTATTATGTTACTATTACTATAAAGAGAACTAATAATTCTTAATATAAATTATTTTAAGCAGAATAATGGTGGCCTAGTGGCAAGAAGCTGTGCTGGAATCCCAAAGGCATGTGGTTCGAATCCACTAGCTGCTCCATGAGAGAAGAGAGGGCATTCTCCTCCCATGTGATTAACTGCCTCCAATAACCTGCCGTGGGGTAAGCTGTGGTTCAGTTCTGACTTGATGGTACACAATAACAAAAATACAATAGTGACAGTAGCATTTCTGGTGGTGGTCAGTGTGCCATTACAGCATGAATCAAGTGACAAGCTAAGTATTTTATATGCATTATCTTATTTAATCTTTATTATGCTCTATAAACTTGGAATCATTATGCTCAATTTGAAAATTAGGATATTGCGATACAATTTTCCAATGATTTTCTTGGGTCTGGTAATGCAGCTAAAAAGTGTTTCAATCAAGATATGTAGTCTGACCATGTAGTCTGACTAAGCAGGTTAAGGATGGGTGCAGGGTATCACTATTGAAACAGTACAATAGTGACTGACAATAGAGAGAGCACAGCTGAGGTTGAGGACCATAAATGCCATAAAATCTTTCTAGAATTTCTCAGCAGTCCATGCAGAACCACAGAGAACAGAGTTAATTAATTAGCTTTATTGAAAACTTGGAATTTTGTCAGGTGGGAGAGATGGAAACAAGATGTTAAAAGGAACTAAGGATATCAACATGAAACTGTGAACCAAAAAAAATCAAGTTAGAGAGAAAGATGAAAATGCAAAAGAAAAATAAAAGAATCTGAGATGTACTGGTATTGAAATCATAGCATTAAATTAAAGTTTTATAATTATCTAGGAAAGAGATCTAGAGTAACAAAGTTTTAGTTACAGAGCAGATTTTATTATTTCAAACTTTATGATCATGGCCATATGAAAGTCATATATAGAATACTGATAGGCTCAGGAAATGAAAGAAACAAGAAACTGAGAAGTTAGAGGGCTGGATGTAGAGCACAAAGAAAAAAGAATACAAGGTCTGAATTAAGGGCTGCCATATTTCATGAAGAGTTCTGGTGGCTTAGTGGAAAGGAGTGGCACTGGCAATCAAAGACGTGATTCAAATCTACCAGCTGCTCTATAGGAGAAAAGACAGGCCATCTCCACTGCAATTTTTTCACTCATTGCGATTACATTACTCAACTGCTAACCAAAAGTTTGACAGTTTGAATCCATCATCAAATCTACAAAAGAAAGATGTGCAGTCTGCTTCTGTAATATTTATAGCCTTGAAACCTGATGGGGTAGGCTACTTTGTCTTACAGGGTCACTGAGTCAAAATCCTGGAGACAATGAATTTTTGTTTATATGTAAGTAATTTGACATCTTTTACAGGAAACAAAAACATACAAAAATAAACTAAAACCTATTTTATACATTATAACAAAACATTAATTTAATAAAATTATAAGAACTGGGTTTTCTTAACAAGGATCTATAAATGTTGCTAACAGATACACAATTAAAGCATATAAAAATGGCATTTAGAATTTAATATATTCTTACTCTTCCAAGGATATCCACAGGTAATTTAGAGTTGAGTAACACTGGTTTCACTTTATCTCCAGATAAAAATCCATTCACAGGGCTTAAACTATCAAAAATGGCATCATATTTGGCCTTATCTTCAGGCTACAATAAGAAAAAGATAAATTTAGTAGTGAAAAATTATTAAATATGCCTATAAAAACCACGTTCTCAAAGAATGGACAATATACTTTTAACTTACAATTGCACTTATTATGCATTTGCTATTTTCCCCTTTCATTGAACTATTATAATAATTTCAAACTAACTCTGTTGGAGAATTCAGTGGCTCATTTCTTTTATACTGAGACTCTATCTTCACTTTTCAAGTGCTGCTTATGAACTACAGTATTTCAGAGCTATAGGGCTTTAAAGAACACCTAATTCAACTCTCAGTGGAATTAACAGAAAGGAAGAAACTTTTATAAAAACACACATCTATTGAGTGATTTTCCATGACCGTTTAAATAGGGTAATAGGTGCATGTTTCAAATTCACACACATTTTAAATTGAAATTATTGCCATGAAAATAATCATTAAGATTATCCTATTTTTCTCAAAGCAAGATTTTTCTTGTCAATAACAAGATATATCCTAAAATCCTGAAAAGTTTCTTAAATAATTCCAGAAATATTATTTATGACTTACTCAGCCAAGGCCAAATCCCTACCAATACATTTAAAATGATCCCACCAGAATACAGATGAACCAACCAAATTTTTTTCTGACAAAAAGCTGTGACAAGATATTTATTAAGACACTTCAATGGCTCTATTTTAATACTGACAATATATTAAAGCTTCTAGCTCTGAGAGCTGGACAATGACTAAAGATTATAAGAACTAACTGATGCCTTTGAGAGAGCACTGAACTGCCAAGAAAACAAATAGGCCTGTCTTAGGGTGAAGCCAAGAGTTTCTGCTTGGAGGCTAGGATTCTGAAGCTCTGTCTCACATACTTTAGGCACATGGCCAGGAAGGACCATCCCCTGGAGAAGTACGTCATGCTTGAAAAGGTGGAGGTACAGCGCAGGAGAAGACGACCCCAGATAAGATGGTTGATACAGTAACTGGGGCAATGGGATTACCTGTGTCAAGAGTCAGTGAGACTGTCTCATATAGGGTAGGGTTCAGAGCTTTCGTGCATAGATTCACAAGTCACTCAATGGCACGTAACAAATTTTAATACTACTTTTAAATTTTCATTTTCAAGCTCTGATAATTATAAAATTTCCACTTCATGAAGATTTCATTTGTTTTAATGATTAAGCCTAAAGAGAAAATCTAACTAAGCAGAATTTTCAAACAAGAAATACTACTAGAGTAAAATCAACTATTTAAAGAACTCTTGGTGGGTTTTGTATTACAAAACTAACCAAAAAAAGTTAAGTTTCTAAGGGTTGGAAAAGCAGGGTGGGGGGAGTTTTAACCCACCTGTTGCTCTGCAGGGGGGAAAAAACCCAAAGGTAGTCAGCTGACTTTAATTAAGATTTATAAACTTGATAACCCTATAGGACAGTTCTACTTTGTGTTATATATAAGGTTGCTATGAGTCAGACTGCCTCCTGGTCCAAGTATAAGTTTCACATAAGCACAATCAAGTGTTCTGGGATTCCCATTCTTCTCAGAGTCAGCCACAGTTTGTTGTGATCCACACAGTCAAACACCTTTGCATAATCAATGAACACAGATAAACATTCCTCTGGTGCTCCCTGCTTTCAGTCATCACCCATCTAACACTGGCTATAATGTACCACAATCTCTTCTAAACACAGACTGCACTTCTGGCAGTTCTCTGCTGATGTGCTGTTGCAGTTGTTTTTCAGCAGAATCTTGCCTGCATGTGATTTTAATGATACTGTCTGATAATTTCACATTTCTGGTCATCTTTTTTTGGAATGGGAATAAATATAGATCTCTTCCAGTGAGTTGGCCAAGAAGTTGTCCTCCAGATTTCTTGGCACAAACTGGTGAGTACGTCCAAGGCAGCATCTGTTTGTTGAAATATATCAATTTGTATGCCATCAATTTCTGGGGCTTTGTTTTATGCCAGTTTCTTCAGAACAACCTGAACGTCCTCCTTCATCACAATACACTCGCTTTTTAAAAAAAAGTTATTTGAAAGCCAAGTTCTGCGAGAGTGCACACTACATAGTTGCAGATGGGCTTCCTCAGGCTCGAGAAGAGGCAAGGATACACGCACGGACTAGCAGGTCTCTGCATGAATGTCCTCTTAGGTGTTTCCAGCACAAGCCTGGCCGATCCTCCTTGGACAAGTACATGAGAGTCTGTATCCCTTAATCATCAATATATCTGAATGGCTCCACAGGTTCTGGCTCTTGTGCTTTCTCCTCGATTTTCAAGCCCTGGGTTGCCACAGGTTCCACTAGCCTTTGATGTCTTCACTGATGTCCTTCAGAATGATGATGCCTCTGAAGGAGCATGGTTTGAAAGGGTGGTATCTACTAGTCTCTGTCCTGGTGAGGACTTCAGTCTGGGCAGGTACATACAGCCCTGGCTGGCTTATCCAACAACTGAAGTTTGGCTCTAGTTCTTTTTTCTTTTCTTTTTCTTCGCCTCATCCATTTCCATCTTCTCTTCCTCTTTTTTTCTTTTTCTTTTCCTTTTTTTAGCCTTGGCAGTAGTAGACAACACAGCAGTAGAAACCTTTTCCTTTTCCTTTTGATATTTCCAGAGAAGCAGGATAAGCAAAAGTTGATGGCTTATACCTTGTTTTACACTGAACTTTCAGTATCTTATGTCCTTTTTGAGACCAATGACACAGGGAGGAGTATAAGCCAATGACAAGAAGTGTGAAAGAGTAAAACAGAACTGGAACTGAGTGAGGACAATGATATCAACTACAGAAGGTAAATGGTTGTGCCCAGTCCTGGACTGTAATGATATGGTGACATTAAGGCTACCTGCACCCAGTAACCCCTGGGCCAAAATAATGCTAAACTTCACCATGACATCACCATGCTTATCGTTGATGATTTTGTATAAGACGAAGCTATGAGAGCTCTATGTTTTACATAATTCATATGGTAATTTGTCACTGGTTCTAGCAATTTGCTTCCTTGTTTTTTGGTGCCAGCACAGCAGATCCCCAGGGCTACTGCAGCCCATACTGCACATGAGGACTGTAACTCTCTGACAACAATGACACAACATCTGGGCATTGCTGAAGGGTCCTGAACAGAACAAACCCAACTGATTCTACTACTGCTCTTCTGACATCATCATTAACATAACTTACAGCAACATGGCGCAAAAGCCAGTTTTGTTATTACCTGAGCTATAATAAACCATGGCAAAAGCATACAATCCAGATTGCTCAAGAATTGGGTCCTTATCTCTACAGAGAGATTCAACAAGAGCATCAGCCTCAGCTATTCTCCTGTATGTCACTAATATAATGCCAACTGCAAGACCAAGACCATGCAGAGCCTTTTCATGCTGAGTTTCTTGTGCATAGCCAACCATGTCCTCGTTAGCCTGGGCATTTTTAGAGCCCAACATAACCAGATCTAGGGCCAGGCCAGCTGCTTCTCCTGTCACAGCATCATCCTGATAATGGTATGTTTTGAGCAAATTGTATACATCCTGGCATGTGGTCCCCATAACAGCCAAATAAAGACCAGATTGCAATCATGTAGAGCAGTACCTTTGCTGGCATTCTTAAGTTGGTTAAGCAGATATCACCCTGATGACTGGCATGGATGAGACTCAATGTGTAGAGGTCTTTAGCGTCCGGTAGGATAATCATGGAGAGGTGTCTTTGGGGATGTATGTTGCCATCAGCTGTAATGCTTCCTTCTGATGATGCTTATCAATTATACCCAAACTGGCCATAGAAATAAATTTTGCTCAGTTGCAGGCTCTGACCAATCAATCAAAATCATCTCTAAGAAACTGGTCATTGGTGGTTCCACAGTGCATAAAAGAGTTTGCTGTAACAGTTGTAGTGTGACTTACAGAATTCTATAATGCATCTTTTGTATTTTTTTAGAATCATGAGGTCTGTTATTATTTTGTATCAAAAATACAGAATGCTTCATGAATTTGCATGCCATCCTTGCGAAGGGGCTATGCTAATCTTCTCTGAATCATTTCAGTTTTAGTATATGTGCTGCCAAAGAGAACAGCACCACAGGCTCTTGATCATTGGGCTCTATGAAGAGGAACATGACATCAGAATTGAAAGAAGTCCCCTTAACAACCTGAATTATGAAGATGAAGCAATCTTGCTTGCCCAAATTGAGAAGGACATTAGACATTTGCTGCAGAGTGTCAAGGACTGTAGCCTTCAATAAGGATCCAACATCAAGAAAACAAAGATTTTCACCAATGGGCTGATCAGCAGCATCATGACATACAGAGAAGAAATTGAGATTGTTAACAGCTTTAGCTTACTTGGCTCCACAATCAACATTCTAGGTACCAGCAGCCAAGAAATCAAAAGATGAAGTGCACTGGTTAAGTCTGCTCTCAGGAACATCTCCAGAGTACTGAAGAGCAACAGTGTCGGTCTGGAGACCAAGATGCACTTGATCAAATTTGTGGTCTTTGCAATTACTTGCTGTGCACCAAAGAGCTGGACAATGACTAAGGATAACAGGAGAAAAATCGATGCCTTTGAGTTGTGGTGCTGGAAAAGACTACTGAATATATCATGGACTGCTAAGAGAACAAATAAGGATGTTCTAGAGAGGGTGAAATCAGGCTGCCCCTTGGAGGCAAGGATTTTGAAGCTCTATCTGACATACTGTGGGCATATTTCCAGGATGAACTAGTTTATGGAGAATGACATTATGCTTGGAAAGGTTAAGAGAGAAGATGACCCTGGATGAGATGGATTGACTCTTATTGGAGTAATGGGGGGTAGGTGTGTCAGAGACAAAGGAAATGGCTCAAAACAGAGCAGAGTTCAGAGCTGTTGTACATAGGGTTCCTATGAGTCGCAGACAACTCAATGGACATAACACCACCACCACGAGTCAGAATCGACTTGACAGCAATGAAAACCTACCTGAATATTAAATATTTTAATTAATTAAAAATAATGGTATCATCATTCTTATTTTAAAATAAAAACAAGATTGGACAGTCACAAAATGATTGACAAAAATGGAGAGATATCTACAAAGATTCCCATTATTTCCCTAAATCTACTTGAACATACCTATGAAATTCTAGTGCAGACTGCAATTCAGTTAAAAAATGAAGGAACGTACCTGAGCATGAGGCAATGCAGGGCTAAGAAAAGAATAGTTACAAATTTACTTACTTTAACAGCCCATGGGAGTTCCGCAGAGGTTCCACTGACTAGTAAAGGACTACTGGTATCATGCTAAAAAGAAATATAAAGCACATGACCTGTTGAAATCTTTACATCAATAAACAATCAAGAAAAAAACCTACCCACTGTATTTAAATATATTCATATGAAATATTGAATCTGAATACATACAAGACACTCATTAGATATTAACTAATATTAACTAGACTTTCATCTAGGGAGTTATGGTGGCCTACTGGGAAAGAGTTGTACTGCCAAGTCAAGGGCAGGTGGTTTGAATCCATCAGCTGCTCTGACTGGAGGGTCAGTTATAAATCTGTTCTGACTCAATGACAATGAATGAGGGAGAGGGAGACTTTCACCCAGAGGTGTCTAGGTGGTTTAAGATGCACTAATCTAAAGGTTAGCAGTTTAAACCCACACAGAAAAAAAATCTGATGATCTGCTTCTAGTAATATTACAGGCAAAAACCCTTTGGAGTCTTTCTACTCTATAATGCATTTAGTTAAACTGGCTTGCAGTTAGTTAAAACTGGTTCAATGGCAAATGGAAAAGAGGATCTAAGTACAAAAAAGAAGGATCAAAATAACAACAATAATAACAAAAGATAGAAAGACAAAAAAGAAATCTAGGGCGAGCTCTGGTGGCCTAGTGGCAAGAAGCTGCACGGCGATCCCAGAGGTGTGCAATTCTAATCCACCAGATGCTCTACTGGAGAAGGAGGGACAATCTCCTCCTGTACCTGTCAGTTCCAATTTGATGGTACACAGACATAAATAATAAAAAAATAAATTTTTTTAAAAATTTTAAAGAAAAAGAAATCTGGAAGGAACAAATACCTTAATGGCCCTATAAATTGATGACTTTTTCTCAACAGTACAGAAATCAGACTGAGTCAAACCACCCGATTTCGGTAGCCCTTATAATTTCTACATATAAGTACCGGATATCTATTAATATCATGCCCTAGTCATTATGTTTATCTAATTGAACAAAAACAGGTAAACAAGACAGATTAAACAATAAGGTAAAATACAAGCAAAGGAAAGTTATGTAGCTATAAAAAAATGGAAAAGCTTTTATATAATGATATGTAGAGAATAAAGCGTACTTATTTTTAAAAGGCACTGAGAGAAAAAAAGGCATTGAGCCATGTGTTGCATGTTACTGGCACCATCCAGTCAACTTCGACTCATATCAATTATCCTATCCTGTGCCAGCCTTGCAATTTCCTGATATGTTCAATCCATCTTGCTGAGAATTTTCTCTTTCCTTCATCTTCCACCTTTCCAGTATAATGTCTTTTTCCAAGGAATAGGCCCTTCTGAAAACATGTACAAAGTATGTGAGAACAATTTTCAACATCCTTGCCTCTCAGGAGCATCCTGGTTGAACTTTCTTTAAGACAGATTTGTTTGTGCTTTTGGCAGTAAATGGGACAGGCAGTACTTTTCTCCAACACACAATTCAAAGGCATTGATAATTCTTCTGCCATCTTTATTCACTGCCCAATTTTCAGACTCCTACAAAGTAATGGAGTAAAACTGGCTTAGATTGTGTGCACTGCAGCCTTTAAACAGATATCATTGCTTTACAGCACTTGACAGCAGGTTTTTTCAATGCAACACATCTTCTGATTTCTTGACTACCATTACCATGTGTGTTGATTGTGAATCCAGGTAAGATTAAATTACTGACTTCTTCAATCTTTTTTCCATCTATCATAATGTTGCCTATTGGTTCAGTAGTGAGAATTTTTGTTTTCTTGATATTGAGATGATATTGAGATGTAATTCATAATGAAGACTGTAGTATTTGATCTTCTGCATCAAGCATTTCAAATATGCTACAACATAGAGACAACTCTGTTGTTCTAATGGAAACAAAGTGATGTTACCAAGCCAAAGGTGGGTGATTTTAATCTGCAGCCCGCAGGCCTTGTTTTTATTGTTTTTGGTCAAACATCCTTCTAACTGGTACAGCACTAGTCTGTCCATTTGTTGTACAGAGGTAACACATAGTTGCTGTAATGCTGAACACTGTGACACTGATGTGTCAAATGTGATAATGATTACCCAAGGTGGACAGTGTTTGGTGGAGCTCACAGATTAAAATAAGCTTGGAAGCAGGAGTGGCATCTACTTTTGACATCTCTGGAAACTCTACGAACATGGAGAAACAATGAAAGTTATACAAGTGTTCAGGTCTTTTGTTCATAAGGTCACTATGAGTCGTCTAATAATAGACGGAACCTAACAACAACAATTAATGTAAAATAAAATCTATATTTCTTTGGAAGGATATATAAGAAACTAGTAAGTAATGACAGTAGTAGCCACTGAGAAAGAAACCAAGTGAGCCATCAGGGCTAGAGACGAATTTCTTTGACAAGATATAAACTTTAAGGTTCATAACCTATCATATTATTTTTAATAAATCAAATTTGTATTTTTTTAAAAAATCAAATTTAAAAGGGTTTCTTACAAACTACAAAACACTCTGTAAGAAACAATAAAAGACCGAAATAAATAAAAAAATGTTGCCTCTTCATGGATAGGAAGATTCAATATAGTGAAAATGAAAATCCTACCAAAAGCAATCTACATGTTTAACACAATACCAAAACAGATACCAAATTCCTTTTTCAAAGAGATAGAAAAGGCAATTCACAAGTTTTTTGCAAGAGGAAAGAGATCTCAAATACGCAAAGCCCTTCTCAAAAACAAGAATGAAGTAAGAGGCATAGTACTTCCTGATCTCAAAACCTACTATACAGCTCTAATAACCAAAACGGCAGTAATGGGCTCAACTATGTCAGATATTGTGAGATGACACAGTAACTATCTGGAGTAAGCTCTACACTATCTCACTCCTTGCTGTCAAGTCAGAACCACCTCAGGCCAATGGAACAGAATCGAGAACCTGGAAATGAACATATTCATCCGTGGTCAACTGATAATGCAACAAGGATATAAAATCTATCAAATTGGGAAATGATATCCTCTTCAACAAATGGTGCTGGCAAAACTTGGTTGCTACCTGAAGAAAGCTGAAGCAGGATCTACACCTCTCCCCACATACAAAAATCAACTCAAGATAGATCAGAAAGCTAAGCATAAAGCCCAAAACTATAAGCATCATAAGAGACAAACCAGAACCTAGCTTAGAATGCCTCACCTATGGTATAGAGACTGTCAAAAACAGCCAGAAATACACCACCAGAAGAGGCTAAAATTGATGAAGGGGACCTTCTAAGGATTAAATCACTGTGTACATAAAAACCTTTTTGCAGTATGGTGAAAAGAAGGCCTACTTACTGGCAAAAAGTATCTGGCAATACTATCTCAGACAAGTGCTCATGGCAAAAGTTTACAGAATTCTACAGGGCTTCTACAGGAAAAAGACTGAAAATTCAATTACAAACTAGGCAAGAGACAGGGAAAGACTTTTCACAGAAGATATGCAGATAGCCAACAGACACATGAAGACATGAAGAAATGCTGAAAATCACTGGCAGTAAGAGATGCAAATCAAAAACACATTGAGATACCATCTCACCCCAGCTGAAGTAGCAAAGTTTAAGAGGACAGTTAGCAATACATGTTGGAGAGGATGTGGAGATACAGGAACTCTCGTACTTATACTGTGGGATTGTAAAATGGTACAACCCCTCTAGAAGGCAGCTTGGTGTTTGCTCAAAGAGCTGAACATGGAAATTCTATATGACCCAGCTGTTCCAATACTAGGAATATGTTGTTGTTGTTGTTATGTGCCATCAAGTTGCTTGCGACTCATAGTGACCCTATGTATAACAGCCCTAAACTCTGCTCTGTCCTGTGTCAATCACACTGTCTCCAATATACCCATCCCAATTGCCCCAATCACTGAATCAATCCACCTCATAGGGGGCCTTCTCCTTCTGCGCCGCCCCTCCACCCTACCAAGCATGATGTCCCTCTCCAAGGAACTGTCCCCTCCTTGCAAGATGTCCAAAGTATGTTAGATGGAGCCTTAGAATCCTTGCCTCCAAGGAGAAGCCTGGTTTGACCCTTTCCAGGATGAATCTGTTGTTTTCCTAGCAGTCCATGGTACTCTCAATACTCTTCTCCAGCACCACAGCTCAAAGGCATCAATTCTCCTTCTATCCTCATTAGTCATTGTCCAACTCTCTGATGCATAACAAGTGATCGCAAAGACCATGGCCTGTATTAGATGCACCTTAGTCTCCAGAGAGACACCACTGCTCTTCAGTACTTTGGAGAGGTCCCTAACAGCGAACTTTCCAATGGCAGTATGTCTTCTAATTTCCTGGCTGCTGGTGCCAAGAGCGTTGACTGTGGAGCCAAGTAAACTGAAACTGGGAACAATCTCAATCTCTTCACCATCCATCCTGATGCTGCCAACTGGCCCAGTGGTGAGAATCTTTGTCTTCTTGACATTGAGCCTCAATCCATATTGTAGGCTGCAGCCCAAATGTCCAACCACAATCGAATGGATTAAGAAATGGTAGTACATTCACACAAGAGAATACTACACAGCATTCAGAAGCAATTATTTCCAAAAAAATATTACATAACTTGAGAGAGATTGGAGGGCATTATGTTGAGTGAACTATCTCAAGCTCATAAACACTGTATAGGACCATTATTGTAAAAACAGAAAGATAACTAGTAAAATATGTATGGGGATCCAAGGGGGTAAGGAGTGGAAACAGATGGTTGAGGGTTGGCAGTGGGAAAATCATAGTGTCCCACAATTTGGTGGGTGGAGCAAGGTGAGGGGTAAAGGAAATGGGAAAGGTCCTGCTGAGATCTGGAAAGACAGGGTCACGATGGGCATGGTTTAATGGTGACTGATTTTATAAAATATAATGAATGAGAATGATTTTATGAAACACAATGTAAAATGAAGTTTGTATGCAAACCAATGTAAAATTAAACAAAATAATCCTAAACTGCAGTTTAACAAAAAAAAAAAAAAAAGGGAGGGTTTCTTACAAATCTTGGTGGAGGAACAGCAAGGTTCAAGCTACTCAGTGAAACATCCAATCCATTCTGGGCACAAGCCACCAGACGCAAAGCAACAAAGAATTCCTAAGAAACAAAAGTATGACTGTTAAAGACTGTATACACAATACATATATACATGCATACTCTCTAAATGTTACACTTAAAATGTGAAAATATAAAGCAATTCACAATCATTACAGGTTCTTAAGTAGCAACAAATTTAACAGAACACTTGCTTTAAAATTGAGAAATGATCTAAATGTTCCCATTAACATAATAATAAACAGAATTATAACATAATGAAATTATACAGAATGGATAAATGATACAGAGTAGACATTATACAGAATTAAGAATCATGCATCTAAAATATTTAATAATGTGGAGAAAAATGAACATTTAACGTGTTCATAAAAAGGAAGGAAAAAAGTTGAAAAAAGCCTAAAAGCAAATAATAACATTAAGTCATTGCTGGACTGTGAGATTATACATTTGAAACTGGGTCTGTCATTCAAGTGACTCAATCATTGCTATTCAAGAATAGTTTCAGAGAATAACTGAGCAGTACCAAAAACACTTAAGGAATTGCTTGACTTAAAAATATTTCTCAATCTCCTGAAAGGTTCTTGGACACATGGTAATAAGATTTCAGCACAAAACATAGATACATACAAAATGCCAAAAGTGAAGCAAATAGCTTTTCACTGTTTGTTTGGAATTAAAGGTAGGTCTGGAATAAAAATGACAGCAAAAACCTTTCTGCAATTACTATTATAATTTGTTGCTGATGCAATCAACTCTTCACTACTCTTCTCAAATCTTCTATTCTCACTCACATCCATTTTACCCACGTTTTAACCTATTCTTAACATTTTTCCTGTCATCTGCTTTATAAACTTCTGTGACTTCACTGACAAATTTCTTCAGAGGAAAATGCTACTTTAGTATTTCCCCTCTCTTCTTATTCTGTGAGATCTGGCTTGAATTCTCAAAATTAGCTGGAAAAATTGTTTATATTACAAATAATCTACCAAATACAATGACCTTCTTAAAACATTTTTTGTAAACGTCCCTCTTGTTCTCTTGACACATGGGACACTGATCTACCCTAAAACTCTCTCCTCTGTCAACATAGCTCCAACAAAACTCTGAGTATAGAAGGGATTTGCTGAATGAACTCAGTCTCAGAAGGACAAATACTGCATACAACCCTTGTAAAAACAGAAAGATAACTCGTTAAATGTGTATAAATGTTCCAAACGGGAAGGGGAAGGGGGAAAGGATGTAAAACAGGAAGGGTAGAAAACAATGGATAGTAGAGTTTGGTGGATGGATTGGGGATGGTGGTAAATGAGTAAGAATGATTCCAAAGGCACTACAAAAGAAGAGCTAATAATGGGCATAGATCAATTGTAACTGACTGTATAAAATACAATGCATATGAAACACAATGTAAATGAAAGACTGTATAAAACACAAAGTACATGAATGAACCACAATGTAAACAAATCATTGTATGAAAACCAATTAAAAAAAGAAAGGAACAAACCCTCTCCTATTTTTCTCCTGATCTTTCCAGTATCCTGTGTTGGATTCAATGCTTCCTTCAATCTTTCAATGCTGACATTCTAAATATTTCAGCATTCTTCTTACTCTGTAGGCAATTCGATTACACTTAGGTAATCAGATCCACTCCCACAGTATAGAGGGGCTCTGAAGTGAAATAAACTTATTGTACTGAGTCAGATCTGACTCACTGCTGACCTTCCAGAGGGTTTTCCAAGGCTGTAAACTGCATGGAAGGAGACTGCCCATTTTTCTCCTACAGAGTCATTAGGGGAATTAAATCAGCAGGGAGGTGCAGCCTTTGGATTAGCTGCACAACTCTGTACACACTATGCTACTAGAGCTTCCTCTGAGTGACCCAATCATACTTTAAATTGTAGTTCTGCTACTTAAAGTTGTGAGAACATGAGTAAGTTATAATACTTCTCCATAAAATGTTGACTAATACCCTGAAATGTATTACATGAACAACATCATCAGAATTAAGAGAGGAAAGTGCCTGGTGCTCTGCTGGCACAGAGAAACTCAGTAAGTACTGAGTCTTTGTCCCTTTCTTTTCATATATGAATTCCTAATTATATACCTCTTGTCCATACATTAACATTTAACCCAGACCATAAATCTATTCACTGTGATGCAAAAACACTCAACATCAAAGCATAGAGAGGAATTTACTATACTGTAAGCTCATCAAGAGGGAGCTCTGTTGTTCTAGTAGCAAGAAGTTGTCCTGCAATCCCAAAGGCATGTGGTTTGAGGTCACCAGCTGCTCCACAAAAGAAGAATAAGCAACCTCTGTGCAATTAACTGCCTCTAAAAACTCACCAATGTGTCAGCTATGTATCGATTCCAAGACCATGCAGTATACAACAAACTCATCAGATTAGAGATAGCATCTGTTGGTTCACCTCTGTATCCAAAGCCTGGCTCATAACAGATATCCAACAAATATTTGCTTATAATGGACAGCATCATGGGTGCCTGCATGAATTCAGTCCTCTTAATATTCTGGCGGTCAGTAGAGAGTTGAACTGTTAATGCCATGCCTCTCTGGTGGTTTAAATCCACTAATAGGTCTTCTGGAGTAAGATGGGGGATTTTAGTCTAGAAACTCAATGAAGGGCCAAGCTATGGGTCAGTTCTGATTCAATGGCACTAAATTCAGTTTGAATCCAATACACTCAACTGGCCCTATAGCCTAGGGCTCCAATAACTACAATTTAGCCCTAAAATCTTAAGAAAATTAGGATTCTAGCCATCTTATTTAATATTTCCCATCGTATTTTAGGGACTGATCTTGTTCAGTTACCTCCCTAGGGTACATTTACTGAGTAGTACTCAGTAAATGAGCACATTGAATTCAATTCTGTATAACTCTGAAATCAACATGCAATACTTCAAAGTATACTGATGATTCTGGAATCTCATGACCAAAAAAAATGTCATGTACGGTCTAGCATTGACTTCTGGGCAGTAATCCATGCATGTCAGAGTAAAACTTAAACCTCAACAAGTGAATGGCCAAGAACTTACTTTGAAATGTTCCAGGCAATATTCTAAAACTTATTAAATTTATAAACCCATACATGTAAGAATTAATTTTAACTAATTAGAAAAAGAAAGCCTAAAAATTACTAATTAATTTTAATAAATAAGAAGAGTAAAGCCTCTCAGAAATTCAGACTGAAAAAAAAAAAACTGCAGGGAAACAATGTCACTAACTTAACCTTTGAGAATTATGTCCATGTCTCTCAAAACTGCAGTTAGAGTGATCCTTAGAGGCAGGGTTGGTGAAACTTTGTCTCATTTACTTTGGGCACTTTTTCAGAAGGAACTAATCCATGGGAGAGACATCAAACCAGGAAAGGATCAGAAAGAAGACTGTCAACAAGATGAATTAACACAATGGAGATGAAAATGGGCTTGAGCATGACATGGATTGTAAAAGTATAGGGCAAAGTTCAGATCTGTGGGTCATGGGATTGTTAAGAAGCATCGTTGATTTCGAAGGCACCTTACCACAACAATAATGCTACTTCTGAAGTCCATTACAATAACATGTTTTTTTAACGTGCTGTTGACTCAGAACTGACTTACAGCTAGCTGACCCTCAGCAGGTTGTCAGAGACTATAAACTGTATTGTAGGAGACTGTCCATCTTTTTCCGATCCATGGAACAGCTGATGGATTCAGAATGCTTGCCTTTGAGTTGGCTGTGCAGCTCCTTACCACTAAGCCACTAGAGCTCCCTTATGATAACATAAATAAAGCAAACAGGCTGATTCCACTAAGTCAATGTCATTAAATTTACAAAATTGAACGTACCGCTAAATATTCTTAATAGATGTTATTTAAGAATGTAAAAAAAAAAAGCGGGGAGCTCTGGTGGCCTAGTGGCAAAGATGCTGCACTACTACAATCTGAAAGCACACGGTACAAATCTACCAGATGCTCTGCTGGAGAAGAAGTGGCAATCTCTTCCTGTGCCAGTCAGATCCGATTTGACAGTACAGAACAAGAAAAGAAAAACATATTTTAAAAAAAAAGAATGTAAAACAAAAAAAAAACACCAAACAAAATACACCTCATTAAATCAGAACCTACTGATTAGCTGACCTTTCCATTGAGTTTTCAAAGCTATAAAATTGCACAGAAGGATACTGTCCATCTTTCTTCCTCAGAGCAGCTAGAGAGGTGAGGCCTCTGGGTTATCAATGCAACTCCCTATAGACTAGGCTACCACAGTTCCCATTTTAATGTCTAGCTATTGAAAATACTTCATTTTTATTATAATACTTGCTCCTGGTAAACTCTAAAGCCAGAAAAACTAAGTTAAAACATTATTCTTAGCTTAAAGATGTGAAAAAAAAATGCCGGTTATTTTTTATTAATTATTAAAAAAAAAATTCCTATTAATCTCGGAATCTTACTTGTTTGTTCAGGATACCTTTGCCATCTGTGTCAGCCAAATCCCAAATCTGAAATGTAGAGAAAAAAAGAAGTTATTAATTTGTATTGCAAACCAAAATTACCTTAGAGTTTATTTGGTACTAATGTCTAATGAGGTTCAGTGACTGACTTAAGAACATTCAGTGTATCAGGGAAAGAACTGATACCATAATTATAAATTCCATGCCATGTTGGGTTTTTTTTCAATGGAACAAATTCTAACTCCATGTTCAAAGACCTTTCTACTAGAAAAATACTGCCTCAATTATAGTCCCTCATTGAACTGATATTTTTCAAATGGCCAAGTTTAAACAGTTAATATTTACTTCTAAATAACGTATTAACAGTGATTTTCCCCTCAATTTTGAACATTTATTATCAATATAAGGTAAAAGGAGCAAGCCAAGACAGGGACTCTGCCTTTCTATGTGCTCAATCCAAAGCTTCCCATCCCCACTGTACTGTCCATACATGAAACTAGAGACAGTTAAATTAGAGGAAATAGGAATATAGTCAAGTCTTTCTCAGAAGGTGACTTGATGACCAATCAGTACTGTTTCTCCCCACAATGTTCAAATGTACTTCCTCATTTCATCAGACTAAAAAGTAATTTGCTCCTAAAAATCTGAAACCATGTAGTCTTTCCAGCAGATAAATCATTGCATTACAAATTCCCTCCAAGCTTTTACTTACATTCTAACTTATCTTTCTGACTTTGCAACAGTTCATTTACAGTACTAAATATTCATTATAATCTATTTATAATGAACAAACTCTACCTTTCCAAGTATCAAATCTGGAAGCCCTGATTTTTTCAGGAAAGTAGCAGCATCAGAGGCCAACACCCTTCCAGTATTGCCTGTATCAACCTGAAAGACAGGAACTGTAGGTTGAAAACAAATACACATGCAAAATTATTATTTACTTCCCTCCATCACTGTTAATTTGGGAAATGCAACTTTCCAAGAAGGAAATGGAACCCTTTGACTAACAAGGTCCAAGAATATTTGTAATGCTATATAAGTATGGCAGTATCTTGACAGTTCTAACAGTTTACAAAGTAATGAGTAAACTAGATAAGCAAAGCAGCAAAAAGAGAAGGAAGTAGTTTCTTTTAAGTGCTAGAACATGGGATAAATGAGGGACTCAGCAAAAACCAATAGAATTGCCCAATCCTTCAAATGTGAAGTAATAAGCAAGTACAGAAAGGATTAGAAATCTTGCCTCTAAAATTCTTCAGAACTTCATTCATTTTTTTTTTACTCACTTCCTGACCAAGGTGAAAAAAAAAATAATTCCTTTCTCAGCATAATGTAAACACTGAGGCCTTCAGAAGAAATAACGATCTAACTCTTAAGAAATATTTTTTAGTAAATCCCAACAATTTTACTCCCCCCTCCTTTTTTTTTTTCTTTAACACTACGCACTGCCATTTAATCTTATCTACAGGCTCTACTATAAGCTACAGGCTACAATCAAGACCTCAAAGAAAGTTTTAGAACCCTGGAGGACATTATGATGAGTGAAATATCTCAGTCACAAAAGGACAAATACTGCATAGAGCCATTATTGTAAAACAGGACTGACACTGGGGTTGGGGGAAGACTGAGAAAGATGGGATAAATAATGTATATCCTGCATTGAAACAGATGAGGGAGAAAACTGTTTAAAAGGGATATGTGATTAGGTATTATTGTAATGACAGCAGTCCAGAACGAAGGCTGCATAGTGGAGGGAACGTGGTAGGAGGGACTGTAAAACAGTGAAGAAATTTTTCTTTTACTTTTCAAAGAGAAGAGTGTACTGGGGGTCTGGGGGTGGCGGAGAAAAGTGCAACAATGAATGAATGGAAATTCAAAGTCTCTGTAAATAAAAAAAAATTTTAAACATTCTAAAGCCTCATAGAAAGAACTAAAAACTATGTAATCTGATTACTGACAATTCAAAAAGTAGACTGTTCAGAATTTCCAGGACTCTCTTCAGTCAGAAGCAGAGATATCAACTCCACAAAAGTAGACTGTTTAATCCAAAATCTAGTAGAATAAGAATTATACAAGAATGCATGAACTGCTGAGGAAAATGGAATTATATTTATTTATTTAGAATTATTTTAAATTATATTTTCTTCTGAATATAGTAAGAGTTTTTTTTTTTCTTTGAAGCCACTTGTCACCCTCAATTTTGTAGACTGCTTTTGTAAATTGAAATCGTTTGAAAGGATAGCTGATTCTCAGTAGCTCTTTAGAATTAAAAAACCACTCTTGCTCAATATCCTTACTTTTCATGGCAATATATAGGTATTAACTATGTATAACAAAGAATTTGTTTCCTTTTTTTATTGGGATTTAAGTGGGTAAACCTATTGTGCAAAACAAGGCCATATTTAAGAATTATTTCCTTTTTTTCAACTAGAACAAGCCATTACTATTTAAGGAACAATGGCCGATATATATAAAATCCTATATATAGATAGATAGATAATATATATAAAATCCTATACCTATAGAGAGATACAAAATCCTTCCAAGAAAACTGGTTTTATAAAGTCCCAGCCTCACAGACACAGAGTTACTTACTAGCAAGCTAGCTGCAAACTTAGGAAACTTCAAAATGAGGGAAATGTATTCAAATTTACAATTAAAAAAAAAATCCAAAATTAAGCCACTGCCATCAAGTCAGCTCTGACAACAATTATATAGGACAAGATAATATTACCTCATTGCGATTCCACAGATGTAAATCTTTACAGGAACAACTGCCTCATTTTTAAGCCAAGGGTCAGCTAGTGGGTTTAAACTACTGACTTTTTTGTTACCAGCCCAATGATTAGCACACAGTCAGTACCACAGAAATCCTAGTGGTGCCATGTTGAGGCTGACGGTTTGAATCTATCAGTCAATATGCAGGAAAATGATGTGGCGGTCTGCTCCTAAAGATTACAGACATGAAAACCCTATAGGACAGTTTTACCCTCTCCTTTAGGGTCACTACGAGTCAGAATTTACTTGATGGCAATCACGTAAGGCTTTTGTTTTCTTTTGTTTTATAGTTAGTAAATAGAAATATGATGAACAGACTTTTTTTGAGGTTTGGATCCCAGCCTTGAGAGAGTCGAGTAAGACAAGCTCTGAAAGTACACTCTTTTATTCAATACTTGGAAATGAGACTGTAAATTTTATTCAATACTTGGAAATGAGCCTGTAAATATAGGAGACAATCTTAACTATGGTATAAATCTCTGACTTTCAACTGACTAAGCCATTTTACATTCTACAAGGGTAGAAGTGAAAAGTGTTGTACACAAAGTCACAATGACTGGATAGCAGCTAACAAATAGAAGTACAAGTTAAACTATAGAAAATGGAAAGCAATGTTCATGAATCTGGTAGGGAATATGAATTTCTATAATTCACATTCTCATTTGAATTTGCAATTTACTAATTTATCAGTTATAGCAACCTTTGATACATTTACATTTTATATTTTCATACACATCTTAAAATTACACTTTAACAAATCTTATGAAAAGAAATTTGTGCTAGGTTTATAAGTCAATTTGGATATTTACACCCAAATGAATATATCTAAAGTGGCATCCAGTTTCTAAAAAACATGCCTCTGGAAACTCAATGAACTTTGATAAATGTCCATAGTTATAGATAGGCTTCAGGCCTTTTGTTCATACGATCGCTTTAAGTCGTGCTTGACTCAAAGGCAATCAACAACAACAAAGTTGTATAGATTTCTAACACAGATATTAGTAATAACCAAATCATGAGCTTATTTTTCAAGGAGCTTGTAAAAAACATTAATACTCAAAGTAGGATGCTAAGAAGGCACAAGAAACTGAAACAAAATCTTTAAGTAAAAATTTACCCACTGGGCTGATAATTTGTATGTACATAATGAAGAACTGATGGTGTATTTTATGTTCATTACAAGAAAACAAAAATCTTACCTGTCTATAGTATTTTTCATATACAGGATTCCCACTTGACAGCTAAAACAAACAAACAAACAAATAAATAACAAAAAAAACATCTTGCAAAAAGTAGTAATTCTGGAGACTCACATTTAGTAATGCTTTAATGACTATGAAAAGGCATTTGATAGTGTGTGGATCATAACAAGTTGTGGCTGACATTGAAAAGAATGGGAGTCCTAGAACATTTAACTGGGCTCATCTGAATCCTATACCTGGACCAGAAGGCTGCTGTGTGAACAGAGCAGGGCAATACTACATAATTTAAAACTGAGAACAGAGTGCATCAGGGTTGTACTCTCTCTCCATACATATTCAATCTTCGTGATGAGCAAATTATTCAAGAAGCTAGATTCTATGCAGAGTGTGGCATAAGGTTTGGATGGAGACTTATCAGTAACCTCCATTATAAAGCTGACAAAACTTTGCTTGCTGAAAGTGAGGAGAACTTGAAACACTCATTGCAGAAGATCAAGGAATGCAGCCTTCGATATGGATTGCATCTCAATGTCAGGAAAACAATGGTCAAAAAGGCAACATCATGATGGGTAGAGAGGAGACTGAAACTGTCAACAGCATCATCTTGCTTAGATCCACAATTAAGACCACTGGTACAAGCAGTCAGAAGATAAGGAGACACACTGCACTGGAAAAATCTATTATTAGGGACATCTCCAAATTACTGAGGAGTAATGATGTCTGTTTGACATCGTTAAGGTGCGTTGATTCAGGCCATAGTCTTTCAATTACCTGCTATGATCAGAGAGTCAGACAATGAATAAGAATGACAGAAAAATAACTGATGCCTTTAAGCTGTGGTGCTAGAGAAGAGCACTGAACATCCCATGGACGGCCAAGAGAAATAATATGTCTTAGAGAGGGTGCAGCTGTAGTGTTCTTTGCAAGCAAGAATGATGAGGCTTTATCGCACATACTTTGGGTATGTTATTAGAAGGAGCTATTCCTTGGAGAAGGATATGATGCTGAAAAGGGTGGAGGGTTGGCAAAGGAGAGGAAGACCCTCAACCAGGTGGACTGACATGGGGACTGCTGCAATGGGCTCTTGTGTATCAGTAAGAGTGAGGATAGCACAGGATAGAACAGGGTTCAGATCTTTGATTCATAGGGTCACAATGAGTCATACTTGACTTGATAGCACCTAATAATAACAATAACTATGTAAATTTACAGTTAAACAAACCCATATGGTAATACACACACACACACACACACACACACACACACACACCTCTACCCATTTGGAAGCCTAGAAATAAACTCACACATCTAAGGTTTACTGATTTCCAATAAGGGTGTCAAGTTCACTCAAAGAAAAAAAAAGTCTCTCTACAAGGTGTATCTCTCTATACAAAAGATTGAAACTGACTCTATAATTTATACCATTTATGAAAATTAACTCAACATGCATCAATGACTAGATACAGAAACTATCATCATAAAATTCTAATAAGAAAACAGAGGAGTAAAGCTTTAACACCTTGTTTTCAACAATGGATTCTCAGCTATGACACCAGAAGCACAACAAAAGAAATACAGTATTTTTAAAAACAAGCATACTTTTGTACACCAATGGATTTTATAAATAAAGCAAAATGTTCTAAAGTATACCAGTACTTACAATAATGAGATACAGATAAGTGAGACTGGAAAAAGCCAATACACTCACAATTAATTATGGTGTTTGGTCTGTCTTAAATCTTTTATGTCTTGTTCTCTCTAAAAATTCAAGACAATGAGAAACAGTTCATTACTTTCTGACTCTCATTGCCAATGAGTTGGACCAACTCATAGTTGATCCTCCACTGGGTTTCCAAGGCTGTAAAACATCTGTGAATAGACTGTCTTTCTCTAACAGAGTTGCTGGTGGATTTGAACTGACAAGAGGCATGGCATCTGGATTAGCAGCACAAATCTCTACAGGCCACAAAATCATAGCCACTGGGTCATCAGTACAACCAGAGTTCCCTAGTTCATTATTAATGAACTATTAATTATTATTTATCAAGTTAATTTTTATTTCTAGAAATTCCAAATGACAGAGTAAAACTGCTTCACTGGGTTTTCCAGGCCATAATCTTCAGGGGAGTAGGTCTTTCTCCTACACAGGTGCTCAGTGAATTCACATTGCCAATCATTTGGTTTGTTATTGTTACTATGCACCATCACAAAGTTTGGGCATGCTGTCAGGAAGAGTCAGACCTTGGAGAAGAACATCATGCTTGGAAAGATAAAGGGCCAGCAGAGGAGAGAAAAACCCTAAACAAGATGGACTGACATGGTGACTGTAACAATGGGCTCTACTGTAACAGAGATGGTGAAGATGGCACAGGATAGAGCCAGTTTCACAGGGTCGCTATGAGTTGCAGTTGACTGGTTAGGAGTCAAGTATTTAACTACTGTTCCTTTTTGACATATTAATACACAATTATTCAACTCTTTCATAATTAAAACTTCTAGAACTCTATGTTTAAGATGATTAAAAAACCAGAAGAAAGACTAGTCATACATTCTCTCAACTCTTTCACCACTACCACAACCAGGGCACCTTTACTGGTGGAAAAGCAACCCCTATGGCCAAAGAATCAAACGAATACAATCAAGAAAACCCTAGTTTCATTATATGCTTGGGCTTATACAGTATGAACAGTGTGCAAGGAGATTAACATTTTATGATAGATTTGTTATGTCTAAAAAAAGATCTGAACACTTCACAATGCAAAGGAAAACTATGAAGAGAAAACTAATGATAAATAGAACACAAAAATTATTTGAAAGAGAAAGGAACAATCACAGTTGACAGCAACCCCAATTGATAAATACTAATCAGAAGCTATCAGAAGAATAAAGAAACTTTCGAAAGGAAACCAATTCTGTAGCTAAGGTAGAAGGAGTGGAAGGATTCAGAAAAGTAAGTCATTTGAGTGCAAGGAGGGAAAGAGTAGGCATATGGAAACAAGCAGCCACATGAGCAGTTCTCTTACCAAGTACACAGTATTAACTCTCAGCTCTTAAAAAAAAACACAACAAACCACAACCTTATTATTCAATTAATTATTAAAATGAATGTACTCGCTGGGTGTCTTCTAGGTTTAAGACAACAGTTTTTAAGTTTCTAGATTGAAAAATAATTCATACACGGTTCTTGTGCTTACAAGTACTTCTTGCTGTTTATGCTGTGTACTATCAAGTCAGATTCATAGCTGACCTTCCAGTGGGTTTTCAGAAAGAGAAAATCACAGAAGATGAGACTGCCCATCCTTCTCCCACTGAGCAACTGGTGGATTTGAACTTCCTGCTGTTGGGATTGCAGCAAAGCTTCTTAACATTAGGCCACCAGAGTGCCCTTAAAAATACTTACAATGGATTATTATTCAACCATTAAACTGGAATTGATCTCTGATACATGCCATCATACATAGGAATTGGCACTGCACAGTGCTAAAATAAATAACACATAAAAGGGGAAATAGTACATAATTCCACTTACAGGAACTATAAAAAATAGGTAAACTAGGGTTCAATGAGTTTATATTAATGGATTAAAAAAGAACTCATAAAACGGGGGTCTAGGTATTGTTGCAAAACTCAAAAAATTGAATCAATGTCACTCAGCAGTATATGCAAAAAATGTTACACTATATGTTTTGCTGTGCAAAGTCTCAAAACAACAAACTAAATATTTTTAAAACAGCAGATGTTTCTAAATTCTAGTGAAATTTTCATTGCTGATGTTAAATGGATCTTGGTTGAAAACAGAATACTTAAAAGATGTTTGTGGCGTTTTGGGGTTTTTTTTGCTTTTTGTTTGTTTGGTTTTTACCACTAAAGCACTTCACTGCATGAATCATAACAAATTATGGATAACATTGAAAAAAATCTCAGACCACTTAATTGTGCTTATCGGAAACCTATATAAAGACCAAGAAGCAATTGTCTGAACAGAGCATGGGAACACTGCATGCTTTAAAATCAAGAAGGGTGTACATCAGGGTTGTATCCTTTCTCCATACCTATTCAATCTGTATGCTGAGCAAATTGTTTGAGAAGCTGGACTATAAGAATATGGCATTAGAATTGTAGGAAGAATCATCAACAACCTATGTTATGTACATGACACAATCTTGCTTTCACAAGGGTGGAAAAGGACTTCAAGCACTTGCTATAGAAGTTCAAAAACTACAGCCTTCAATATAGATTACAACTCAACATTAAGAAAACAAAAATTCTCACAATTGGAAAAGACTGATGTTATCAACAATTGCATTTTACTGGGATCCACAATCAACACCCAGGGTGACAGCAGTCAAGAAACCAGAAGATGCGTTATACTGTGGAAAAAAGAGGTCAAGGACTTCTTCAGAGTGTTAAAGAGCAAGGATGACAGTTTAAAGATTAAGGTGCATCTAGTATTTTAAATTGCTTCTTATCCTTCTGAGAAGTTGGGCAATGAATAAAGATGAAAGAAAAATAACTAATCCCTTCTAACTGTGGTGATGGAGAAGAACACAGAATATCCCACGGACTGCCAAAAGAACAAATGTATGTCTCAGAGGAAGTACAACTTTGGTGCTCTTTTGAGGCAAAGATGGTGAAACTCTGTCTCACACACTCTGGGCATATTATCAGGATGGGCCAGTCCCTGGAAAAAGACATCATGCTCAAAAAAGAAGAAAAGAAAGAGAGGAAGACCTGAACAAGACTGACAAAGTGACTATTAACAATGGATTTGGGGCCTCCCCTTCATATTTCAAGTAGGGAGGTCCATCCCTTTTTAATAAATCTCTTATCCTCAATAAAAAAAAAACCAAGCAAACAACAAAGAACAATAGGTTTGGGCATATCAGAGATCTTGAGGATGACACAGGAGAGGGCAAGGTTCAGATCTGTTGTTTTAAGGTTGCTATCAGTCATAGTCATTTGATGGCATCTTACAACAACAAAAACAAAAACTCTATAAAAATTTTTAAACCCCCCCCCAAAACTGCTGTTTAGAATTA